TAAGCTCAACTTTCCATGGGTATAAGGTTCTGTTATTTTTTTGGTAGTTTTTCAGTTGAGCTCCGGTGAGCTCACCGAAGAAGACGACCGGAGCCCTAGCTCTGGCGTCTGGTTTGTTCCCAGGTCAGATCTGATGTGGATTGCTTGGACCTTTTGACCTGCGTGCGTGTTTGTTTCTCATTTGCTTGACCAGATCCATGTGGCTTTGTTGACTCCACGTATTTTAATGAAACAGTGTGTTTCATGTGTTGAGACTTGGCTGGATCTGTTGGACTCAGAGTGATATTTATGCCCCCCTCATTTGGAGCCCAACCACGCTTTGCCTGATTTCCAGTTGTGCTTGTTTTTACTTTTGCACCCCTGCTTCCTTTTCCATTTTATTTTATTTTATTTGCTGTTTTCATTTGCAATTTTAAAAATACCTCTAATTTTCCAAAATTTAACAAAAATTGTTTTCAAACATTTCAAAACCTTAATTAATTTTCTATAATTTTTAATTCTGATTTTATTTTATTTTGCAATTTAATTTGAATTTTGCAATTTGAGAGGTTTCTAATATTGTTTTCATTTGATCATCCATACTTGAGCTACCATTTGATATCACCAATGAATGAGGCTTCCTCTCCATTTAAAGGATGGATTGAGGTACCTTTGAGGCTGATTTTGGTCTTGGTTTGATCACTTTTTGTTTAACTTTTCTTTGATTTTGTTTGACCCTCGATTGTAATTCAATAAGGTGGAGCACCCTAGTTGATCAAATCATTTGGTGATACCTTGAATTGAATTTGGTTTTGAAACTTTGGCCTCTGGTTTCCAACATACTTGGTTGATTTATGTATTTTATTTGAGATTTATTGAACATTTCTTCTATTTTTGGTGAACCTTGCAAGTCAAATCACCCTATATGAAGTTCATACAAACTAGTTGACCTAGTTTCTTTGGGAAATGACTTTGATTGATCCCATATGCACCCTAAGACTCTTGATTCTCCTTATTGACATGATTAAGGTGTTGGATTTGCATTTATAGGTCACACACTTGTGTAGTTTGTGTTGCAAGTCACTTTAAAGTTAAGGTATTCCACTTGGTTTTAAGTGTTGATTATGAATGGAACTTTGGTTCTTTCTCTTGCCTTGACTTGGAACTTGCTTGTGTCTTGGTTTCAATTTGGTTTTAGAATCTTCTCCTTGTGTTTGTGCTTCTTTCCTTTGTCTTTTGATACTCATTCAAAGCAATTTGGTATCCTTTGTTCATACTTTGAGTTTGCTTTGAATGAGGGATCACTTTGAGCACTTGCTTGCTCCTTTCTTTTGCATGAACAATGTGTTGTGTTTGGTTGAGACATCTTTCATGTTGCTTGCTGCCCAAGCCTATTCTTCCATATCCATTTTGATCATGGCTTCTCCCTTTGGCTTTGTTGTTTATGTTTTATTTTTAGTGATTGATGCATGAATGGTTGTAGGAGTTATAACTTCTCCCATTTCATATCACTTGTTCTTTGACTTGTTTAAGTCATTTTACTTCATCTTTTGTTTGTGTTGAATCTTGCATATCATGTTTACTTTATTTCTTGACTTATTTAAGTCAACTTCATCTCTTTCTTGCATCTCATTTGTGATTGATTTATCTTGTGTTTTTTTGGTCTTTTGCCATGATCCCTTAGGATTCCTAGTCCCTCTATTTAGGATGGGAGTAGGAGAGACATTAAGTGTTTAATCCAAGCATGATAATATTAGGATACTCTTTTCCCCTCTTAATCTCAATCTTAGAAGCAGATTGCATGATAACATTAGGGTTATTTAGTTTCCCCTTAGAGTTTGTGTCTTCTCTTCTCTTCTCAAAACTTCTTCAAGACATCTAATAAAGGATAATAAGTGTTGTACGCTACGATCCTTAAGTACTTGGGGAATGATAGTTGGGGGGCTTCTTCTCAACTGTCTAGAATGTTTAGCGTATGCCCTTTGGGCAATATGCGAAGCGTTCGCTCTCAAGTCATAGTCTTTAGTGCAACATGAATTACAAATCTAATTCAATTCACTTCTTCATAAAAAACACAAAACAGAATATCAAATCTTTTTATCCTTTGGGATTAATTGGAAATCATTTTCCGAAAGAGTGTGTTAACTCTTGGTTCTACCGCAAACAGGTAACGCCTAAGTCTCCAATGGTCGAGCAACAATACACCTAGCTGCTAGAATGAAGGTTTAACCCTACTCAATTAAAACACTTGAACCATTCTGTGGTCGTGTTATCCCGAACTACATTTGCTCTGATTTCTCGTACCAGACGAGGATACATAGGCACAAGACGGCGATGTCTTGGCGAGCAACCTTCCCCACCTTCACCCGTAGTTTTCTGAACTACGTTGACTCTGACTTTCCCATTGCACGAGGGAGTACATAGGCATAGAGCGGCGATGCTCTATCGAGTCTATTTTATTTTCTTTTGTCCTTGTGGCCAGCCTTATAGATTAACACCCTTTTAGATAGATAACAAGCATGGATCCCGTTGAGTACAACGGGCGTGAGGGGTGCCCATACCTTCCTCTTGCGTAACCGACTCCCGAACCTAAAATTTGGTTGCGATGACCTGTCTTTTCCCTTTTTCGTAGGTTTTCTCTGATCATTTCCTTTCCCTCTCTTTTGGGATAAATAACGAACGGTGTCGACTCTTCTGTCTTTGCCGGTCCCTCTTCGCAGCGATGCGACTGATCCTTCTCTAGTTTGAAAAATGCATAAGGAGCTTTATGAGCTCAAATAAGCACCTCATGACTGGTACGAAAAGCTAACTCAGGCCCCAGCTCAGTTTGGTTTCAGTCACAGCAAATGTGATCACTCTCTTTTCAAATATTTTTGTCAAGGTGTTACTCTTTATTCCTTAGTATACATGGATGGCATTGTGATCACAGGGTCTTCCTCCTTGCTCATTCACAAGCTCATAGACTCTTTGCATGCTAACTTTGCTTTCAATAAGTTAGGATCCCCTGAGTATTTCCTGGGCATTAAGATTAAGTGTTTAGCTTTAGGAAATCTTCTACTCACCAATCTAAATATATTTGTGATCTTCTTGCTAAAGTTAATATGAGCAATGCCAATGGTGTCACCACTCCAATGCTTAACACATGCAAACTAAGCAAACATGGATCTTCTCCTCTTCCTGATCCAATCATGTATTGATTTATGGTTGGTGCACTTCAGTATGTCACTCTTACTCGTCCTAATACTGCTTTCAATGTCAACAAAGTATGTCAATACATGGCTTCCCCTCTTAAATCTCATTGGGTAACTGTTAAACGCATTCTGCATTATCTTAGTAGCACTCTTGATCATCGCTTTCTCATTTCTCTAGCACCACCCTCGTGCAAGATTTCACTTTGTACGTATAATGATTCTGATTGGGCAAGTGATCCCAATGATAGGCGCTCCATATATGGATCACGTATCTATCTTGGTATGAATCTTGTTTCATGGATCTTGAAAAAGCATAATTTAGTGGCTCGTTCTAGCACAAAGTCTGAATATCGTGCTCTTGCACATACTACATTTGAGTTGCTTTGTCTTGAGACGGTTCTCCAAGAACTTCACGTGCCATTACAATCTCATACCATGCTTTGTGATAATCTTGGTGCGGTTTTGTTTTCACATAATCTGATTCTTTATGCTCTAACCAAACACATTGAGTTGGACATTCACTTTCTCTGTGAACGTGTTATTTTAAAGCTCTTGAATATCCAACATGTCCTAAGCTCTCTCCAACTTGCAGATCCATTTACCAAGCCTTTGGAAATTTCTGCTTATCAAGAGCTTCGCATCAAGCTTAAAGTCGTCACTCTCAACCTTCCATGAGTTTGTAGGAGACTACTAGGATGTTATCTTAGGCAACTAGTTACATAGCTTTACATATGCATTAATATATGTCAATATAAGTGGATCACCATGTGCATCCATGCATAACTGTAACTAACACTTGCGTCATTCATCATACATTCTTTGTTATATATAGTTGGCTATGATTTTGCGAATTGAGAGAGATTGAACAAATAATGTTAGAAATACATTATATGACTCCATAAAATATATTTTTGTGTTCAGACCATACAACTTACTTTTCTAAAAATTGACTCTCAAGCCATATACACTAGCTCAAAACCTTTAAACAATGCATTGATGCACCATTAATTTTGCCAAGAGCTCTCCCATATTAGAATTATGTCATCTTAAAATTGTAGTAATTAGTAATCCACTTTTTCATTAACTTTGAAACCCTTAAACTCTCTCATTTCTAATGTTTTCTTTATTAATCTTATTAACCCTTAAGCTCCTATGGTGAATATAAACGAGGACTTGAGTTTAATTACTTGGTTCATTTCCGTTTATTTATTTTATGAAAACATTTTTTATTTCTATTTTATAAAATTTCTTAATTTTACTTATTAATGAATAAGTACATAATAGATAATAGATTACGTAAATGAACAAATACGGATCTTTTTATAAAAAACAATAAAAGAATATAATTTTTCAATGAAAAATATCTCTAAATCTAATAAAAACAAATAACTGTATAACAAAAAAAGGGAAAATAGCATAATATACACACAAAAAAACAAGTAAACTTTTTAAGATGTAACCATCTTTTCTCTACTATTGATTACTAATGCTCGTAACCTATTTTTTTGCCATAAATAATAACAAATTGTTTCATATTAGTTTCTAATAAGTTTTAAATTACTAAATTGATTGAGTTAGCAAACGTAAAATGACAAAGATAGCATATACAAACAACCAACCTACAAAAACCTTAACGCATAAACAAAATTGAACCCAACCTAACTTTTCTATTTGTCACATATATATTTCGTTTCCACTTTCTTGCTTATACCTATGAATTAATTCACACATGTCCTAAACACCAAAAGCATAAAGTTAGTATCAAGAATCTAAAAATTAAAGACTTACAAAAAAAACCAAACTAGAAATTAGTTATTATTATTATTTTCAATGGATATTCGAGTGGATATCGAACGACAACCTCTATTGGAAAATGCACCACAAAAAATTCCCAAAACATCAACGCAGAAGACAATGAGAAAAACATTGAAAGGTACAGCGTATTTAGCAAATCTTCTTCCAACAGGAACTGTTCTAATATTCCAAACATTATCACCAGCTTTAACACATAATGGTCAATGTCCTACACAAACAAGTAAAATCATGACAATATGTCTCTTATCATTTTGTAGTCTCTCGTGTTTTCTTCTATCATTCACAGACAGTTTAAGAGATGAAAGAGGAAAAGTTAGATATGGTTTTGCTACGTTGAATGGTATTTGGGTTATGGATGGATCGATTAAGCTTCATGTTGAAGAGGCAAGGAAATATAAGCTAAGGCTTATTGATTTGTTTCATGCATGTGGGTCTATATTGGTTTTTGGTGCAATTGCACTTTTTAATCAAAGTGTTGTTACATGTTTAGCTCCAAAACCTTCTGAGGAAGCTAAGGAGATTTTGGGAGCGTTGCCTATTGGAATTGGAATTTTGTGTAGTTTTTTGTTTGTTTTATTTCCTACTCAAAGACATGGAATTGGCTTTCCTCTCTCACGTGATTAATTGGTTCTTTGCCATCATTTTACATTGCAAAATAGCAATTGTTGTACTGCATTTTTGTTTGAAAATTTAAAAATAATTGTACATTTATATGAACATTGTGTTTATTTTTATTGTATTTTCTATCATTTTTATTTCCTTAAAAAATCTAAAAATATCAGTTTAGTCCTTTGATTTGACTAATTACTATATTTATCATTTTTTAATTACATCATAAAATCTTTTAAAAAAACCGCTTATTTTAATTAATAATTTTTAGGTAATACGTGCTAGTTGAGTTAAATAAGTGTAAATTGATCCTAACAGTAATATTTATTTATATTTATATATTAATGTAAATAAATTATTGATATTTAAAAATCAACAATTTAAAAAAAAATAGTAATCTTTAATAACAAAAATAAAAACTACAAAAGTTGAATTAGAAAAATATAAGACAATTTTTTAATCCTATTTTAAATATAAAAAACAATTTAAAAAATTACAAATGATTTTACAACAACACAATCTAGTGAATCTTCTTCTTTTATATTAATCGAATATTTTTTTTTCAATTTGTACTTATCAACAAGTACACAATGTGTGGCACCTCTATGCTAGTAGGGGTGGACAAAGGTCTTAGTAATTTTCTATAGATTATGGCTTAGTCACAGTGGTGAGAAACCTTATTTGGTGGTGATTTATGGTCATGAGAGAGCAAGCTCACATGAGGTGATAAGCTCTATGGATTTATGGTGTATATCGTGTGTGTTACGTTCTGTCACTTGTCATACGAGTGATGGGATGTTTATATAGGCCCTTGGGCATATGACTTTGCACATGCAGTTATAGGCTGGATAAACATTTGTATCCATGTTTTTCCCCCTATGACGGGCCACGTGCCACATGAAGGTTATCCGTCGGGCGATGTGTCATAGGGTGGGGGCCAAGTGGGGGACATGTGTCGCCCTTTTTGGGAGCCATTACAAATGTATCACTACACAGTCCCTCAAGCAAGAAGACATGTAAAGGGCTAAGTGTTTTAAGCATACCATTTCTTTTTGTCAAACTTTTTAGTTAGTGGAGAATTTCTCAACCAAGAGAGAGTCCCTCAGTTAAGGGCGAGTCCCTCAATTGGAGGTGAGTCCCCTAATTAGGGGCGAGTCCCCCAATTAGGGTAAATTTCTCAGTTAGGAGCGAGTCCCTCAATTGAGGGTGAGTTATCACCTTCTTTCTAGGTGTCTCCTTAGTAGCTTGTGTGTCACCTTAAAGGGTATCAAACATTAATCAAATCAAAACACCAGTTAGTCACTAAAACTTGGTTTTTTAGAGAGAAAGAGGTGTGTGTGGCATTTAATGTTTCTCATGATGATCGTCCTAGGGAAACCCAATTTATTCTACCTCTTTACATGTGTCCCTAACGTGTGTGAGCCTTTTTGTTTCTCACATTAGTTGTTCTATTGGGAAGACATGTCGTTTGAATTATAGGTTTTACCCTATAAAAGGTCCTAACTTACTTTTTTAGGAGAACATTTTCCTCTTCTTTCTCTTTTTAGAATTCACATTTCATTTAAGTGGAGAATATTTACAAACGAAAAAGTGTTTCTTTGAGTTTGGGTAGGATGAGAGAGATTGCAGGGTTCGCCATTTTCTTATGGAGCAAAGTACTGCAGTTTTTTCTCCTTATAAGAAGTTGATGGCTAGAAAGAAAGATAAACTCGTTCATGTGAGATACAATGCATCCCTATATTCAAGCACTGATATGATCGCACGTTTCATTAGGGAATTGGATTTCCAACACATAACATAAAGAGGACGTAATCCTGGAGCCCGATTTAGAGACAGAAATAGCCAATATGGACACCACGGGTAGTTCATCTGCTCCTTATTTTTACTTGTATCTTTCAGTTATTTATGAGTTGGGTGTTCTAATTCCCTTTATGCCTTTTGAGGCGGAATTTCTGGTGACTATTAATGTTGCCCCTTCCCAGATCACGCTAAACGTGTAGATTATCCTTAGGGTTTCCCATATTAACTATTGTAATTTAGGTGTCTCCCCTACTTTATGGGTATTCCTTTCTTCCTTTAACATAGAGATCCTCCCCAATTGTAGATGGATAACTGTGTATTTGTCTAGTAGGTGTTTGTTGAAACCTCATGCAGAGCCATGTGAGGATTGGAAAAATAGATTCGTGCGGTTCATAGGGCTAGACAGTGCCTTTATGGTAATCGTAAGGGCAACAGGTGCCTTGTGTTTCCCTCTATCAAGGACAAAGGATCCTTAACTCACAAAAGGGATAGACTCTAGCGCCCTTTCTTCTCTTGAAAAATTGGTGATCCAAATTTGGAGTTGCTTCCAGCTTCTAAACTCTCGTACTGTAATTTCCCAAGACTAAGAAGATGATGATGGGGCAAATAAGTACCTGGGTAAGCTTTATGGTATAAAAAGAACCTTATGACTCGATCCCTTTTTTAAACTATTTTATATGTAATAATAGTGCCTTTTTGCAAGGGGTGTGATTTGAATATCGCTTGGTGAGAGGAGGGAACGTTTGGTTCGGATGTAGGCCATGAAGTGACCAACTTCTAAGCTCCGCACATCCTTAAGGATTTAGCTATGGTTGGAGAAAAACGATGGGTAGAGACATATTGTGATGGTGAAGCTTACCCTCCTTAGAAATAGATATGGGGGAGGGCTCTTCAAAACCTTCAAGAAATTTTGGACAGAGGAAAACCATAAATTTTAAAAAAAAAATTGATTCGAATCAAATTTTACACGTGATTTGAATCATCAAGCTCTGGGTCACCTCTGCCACAATTGATTTGAGTCAAACTTTACACCTTATTTGAATCATACAATTATTCCACATATTTCAGTTAGCTCAACCAGTTTGATTCGAATAAGACTTAACACATGATTTGATTCATGGTGTATTTGATTCGAATCACACTCTCCTCTTGATTTGAATCAATTGAAAAATGGGTCAAAACTTTGTTTTTCTTTTATTCCACTTCACTTGTTCATTCGATTTAAATCATGAAATGCTTTTGATTCGAATCTAACTAACTTTTTCAACCATTTTAGTGCTTACTCTCAAGCACATATAAAACCTTTTTTGTCATTATTTCTCATGTAACAAATTAACAAATTCATATTCATTTATTTTTGTGTGATTCTGTGAAAAATCAATAACCTCTGTTTTAAAAGTTCAAAGTTCTTTCAATGGAATTGTTACATCTTCAACTTCAATTTAATTCAGATCTTGATAACGAGAGATCTAGAATTGATTGAAGGAGGTGTGCTCCTAAAACTAATCGTTCTTGAAGATATGGTTGAGATTTTCAAGTGGTTTGCAAGATTGAGGTGATTGTCAATAGTGCTGAAAATTTTTATTGAAAAGAAGTAGGTTCTTCTCTCTAGATTGTCATAGTGGTGACTATTTGGAAGGCTATGGATAAGCGGAGTTCTTCTAAAATTTTCGTAAAATTCATTGCTCAAGGAATCGGTAGGATAGAAGGGTTGATTTCTACACACAAAGGCTCTTAGCAAATTTGTGATATTGGAAAATTCAAGAAGCGTTAATCGAGTAAAGAGTATGTAGAAGAGTTTGGCATACATTATATATAAGTCAAGATCAAGATAGAAGATTCTATTTTTCTCAACATTATTGTGGATTTGTGGTTATATGAACTCTTAGAAATATTTTCTGAATAAAAAGAAACAATGTAGGTTCTAATGGGAAACCATTAAAGTGTGCATGTAGACAAAGTGATGACGAACGCCAAAGCACTATAAATCTCAGTGTCATCTCTCTCTCTCTCTCTCTCTCTCTCTCTCTCTCTCTCTCTATATATATATATATATATATATATATATATATATATATATATATATATATATATATATATATATATATATATATATATATATATATATATATATATATATATATATATATATATATATATATATATATATATATATATATATATATATATATATATATATATATATATATATATATATATATATATATATATTTATATATTTATATATTTATATATATATATATATATATATATATATATATATATATATATATATATATATATATATATATATATATATATATATATATATATATATATACATATATATATATATATATATATATATATATATATATATTTATATATATATATATATATATATATATATATATATATATATATATATATATATATATATATATATATATATATATATATATATATATATATATATATATATATATATATATATATATATATATATATATATATATATATATATATATAGCATTTAACTTTCGTAGTATTTGCTTAGTTAGGTATTTCAATTCTAATGTAGTTTATTGTTTAACGATTTATTATGTAAGATTAGGTTTTCTTAAAAACAATTTAAAATAGAATTCACCATATTGAATTGATGTATAAATAAACCTCATGGATTATACAACTAAATTAATTTAATACCTTACGTATCATCATATTGAAGGGAAATCATGATCCAAAACACAGTGAAAAATAAAAAATTTCCCTTTAGTGATCCTTACGCATGGTTATGATCAGTGATAGAATGGTTACCTCTTGTGGCAATGAAACCTTTAATTTTGAATCGAAGGAGTTATCACGAGCGATGTATGATGAACAATGCCTCTACTCAGTCCACACAAACAGATTCATTCAGTCTCAGTGCTAGCTGCTACGATTGAAGGGTTTTCTTAAGATGTGGTAACTGCTCGCTCTTGACTAGGGGAGCTGTTGACCATCTATTTCCTCGAGAGTCATGGGCATGACTTTGCACATGCAGTTATAAGCTGGATAAACATTTGTATCCATGTTTTTCCCCCTACGACGAGCCACATGCCACATGAAGGTTATCCATCGGGAGATGTGTCATAGGGTGGGGGCCAAGTGGGGGACATGTGTCGCCCTTTTTGGGAGCCCTTACAAATGTATCACTACACAGTCCCTCAAGCAAG